AGCCAAGCTGACAACCCGTTCGGATGCCATTGTCATGGGAACACGGGAAGCTGCCTGAGGCTGAGGCCTTATCCACTTTGTACTTTTCAAGCAGTATCATGCCACTTTAAACAGCCATGGCTTCCCCCAAATATTTCTGGGGACCATAAGAATACAAGAGAACCTGTTGGCCAATGGCCCATCTAGCTCAGCATCCCATTCTCAGAGTGGCCAGCCTGATGCTCGTAGGAAAAAAGGCAAGCACGATCTGGCCACGAGAGCCTTCTGCCTTACCTGCTGTGGTTTCCAGCAAGTGGTATTCAGAAGCATTGCCGCCACTGACCATGGAGGCAAAGCATAGCCATTGTACATTTTTGCAAACAATTTCCTATGATACAATGGCAGTGTGGTATCTTATTTTCAGTAATGTGTGCATTCCCCCCCCCCACTTTACCCTAATACATGCATTTTTAAATATGTTGTTTCGTTGGAGAACTGCATCACAAAGTTCAGAGATGTGCGAATTCCAAGGGATAGCTTGTGATTTGGTTTGTGTATTGGTTCAATAAGTGCAAATTAGGTAGTTTCTCATTAACATGCAAACATAATTGAATCTCTTCGCTGCCCCTATTTTAAGCTGCCGATAAACTACTGGAGGACAATTCTGCTTTTGAAATATATGTTCTTTTCGCTAATCAACTTCTTGGCTTTGAACTCAACAGTGAACAAGTTCTTGCAGGCTAAAGCAGCACAGCACTGAGTCCTGTTTTCACCAGCCTGTCACTCTCTGGATATTTTTGGACCACAGCACCCATCAGACCACCGACTCCCATGTTTTTGACTACAGCTCCCATCAGCATATTGGGAGCTGTAGTCAAAAACATGGAGGGCACCAAGTTGGCAAAGCCTGGCATACATCAATGGAGTGCATTGGGGAAGGAGGATCAAACTGTGGTCCTTAGCATGGGATCCTTCATTGGGGCCCTTCCAGTGGTTCCCCACAGCATGGATGTCTTGTTTACCCACTCTGGAAGAATGGCAGATGAAGATGATCGACTGTATGGGATTGGCAGAAATGACTGGCAGGATCCGAGACCAGGGAGAAGAGTCGGCGGAAGAAGATTGGAAGAAATTCAAGGACTATTTACGGAAATATTGCAAAATTAATGAGTGTTGAATGATGTTGGATAGAAATTAAGGGGTTCATAGCTGTAATGTGATATGGGGGAAAAATAGGGTATGGAAACAGGTTAAATTTATGGATAAGGATTTGCTGAACTAACAATTTGAACTGGAATACAAGAAGGGGAGGTATGAGGAAGTCAGTGAAATATGTTATTGAAAAACAGGTATTGTGAACCTTATGTGTTTTAAAACTTTTTTGCTTTTTTCTTTTTGATTCTTTTTTATTGTATTAAATTTGAAAACTTTAATAAATCTCTTAAAAAAAAAAGCATGGATGTCTTGTTTGCCTCTACCAGGAACCAAACCTTTAGAGTTGCAGGCCCTGACCTGTGGAACTCCCTGCCAGTAGAGATTTGGCAGGAACTGCCCCTGACTTCTTTCAGGCGTCTTTTGAATGCTGCACTGTTTATGCAGGTCTTCACAATATGAAATCCTCTTTTTAACCCACCAGTATCTACTGAAGTTTTAAATGAAGATGTTTTACTGATGTTATCATAGAATTGTAGTCTAGTCCAATCCCCTGCAGGAATTTCTTGCCCATCACACAGCTCAAACCCACAATGCTGAGTCTTATGCTCTACCAGCTGAACTATCCCTGATTTTGTTGTATTTCATTTGCTGTAAGCCTCAATGATATACGTCATGAAAGCGTGGATTATTAATATCTAAGTAATTCAGTAAATAACAAGGGCAGGGGTTTGTTTTTGCAAGCAGACCCCCATTCTCATTCGTGAAATGCCGCTTAGAGAGTCTGCAGAAGCTGTCTTCCCATGGAAGCAAATCCCTGAATGGGGCCTCTCCCTGCCAACCCACAGTGCCTTGTTGTACAGTTTGTCTTCCAGACTGTGGTTTGGTTACTTACATTAACAGAGCAGTGCTCATTTCTGGAGCCGAAAGAAATTAGCCCTGCATTTGCTCTCGATGGAAAATCTGAGGCATTACAAAGGGGGAAGCAGAGAGAGAGGTTGGGAATGGATGTGAGGGAGCGTGAATCCCTTCAGATGTCTAGCTGGCTTATTCCCTTCCCAGAGCTGTGAAGGTGGCCTAATTTAGGTTCATTCATTCCAGTGGGTGTACTGAGAGTAGAACTTAGTTAACTACAACCCACTGTCCCTCAGCCTAACTTATCTCACAGGGTTGTTGTGAGGATAAGATGAGGGAGAATCTTGTATGCCATTCTGATTTCCCTCAAGGAAAGGCAGGATATAAATGAACAAATAATAATGCATCCTGTGTGCAGAAGGTCCTGTGGTTAATCCCTGACATCTGCAGTGTGAAAATACAGGCTGCAGGCAGGTTCTCCCCTCTGGCCTTTCATGCAAAAAGCAGCCTCAGGTCAAGAGGCTTGGTTCGTGAAATGCCACCTTTAAAATGGCAGCTGCAAGTGTGGCAGGATCAGTGGCCAATTGGGACCAGGACTGAAGCACAGGGAGGCAGCACAACAAGCACTGAGGGCAGCTTCCCCTCCACACCAAATAGCAGCTTCAGAGGAGTGATTTCTGTCAGGGTGGAGACACAGAAGCTTAAAGGTGTGAGATTCAAGACAGAGAAAAAGAAGGACTTATCTGAACGGGACATAGTTACTGTAACCTGTGGAAGTGTCTGCCACTAGATGTAGCAATGGTCACCCAGTTGGATGGCTTTAAAAGGGGGTTGACTATGCTAGCCACACTGACTATGCTCAGCCTCCAGTCATGGAGGTGGTAGGCCTCTGAACTTCAGTTGCCAGGCAACCAGAGTGAGAGGAAGTGCTGTTGCTTGTGGGCTTCCCAAAGGCACCTGGTTGGTCATCATGAGATGCTGGACTTGATAGTTCTTTGGCAGCACATTTTCTTGTGTTCTAACATGGTTGCTTATGGCTTCCCCGAGGTATCTGTCACCCCTTTACCAGCAGCTTTATTCAGGTTTTCTTCCTCAGGTTCTAAAATGGCAGCTGCCTGCCTTAAGCAAAAAAAGAAAGAGCAAACTAGAAAATGTAAGAAAACTAATAAGTAGTGGGAAGGAGAGAAAAATCCACAGTGAAATTTGCCAAGGACTTTTGAAGCAGCCAACAACTACAGCCTACTTTCTGGGGACTAAAATAGCTGCCATTAATGCTACTTTTTCCTTACAGACCTCCCCAGCCAACTTGGTTATGGAGAAGGTTGCTGAATGCAGTCCTGGCTCACACATCACACAATGTGTGTTAAGTGCTATAGAAGCCTGGACATAGGAGACAGAAGCAAGACAGAATCCCCATTGTCAGGACCCAGGCAGAGAGAGCTGGATGTGGCTTTCAGCTATCAAGCTTTCAAATGAGAGGTTTTATAAAGAGGCCAATTTCCTAAGCGCTGAATACTTTAAAAGTGCTGGAACAGACAGTGCTGGAAATGATGGGAAATTTCTCAAATTTCAGGCGAGGTTGTTATGTGAAACTGGCCCCACATTTCTACGGATATATTTCACCTTCTCCAGTGTTTGAGTTGCATGTTTGGGATATTTAACTAGAGAGGCAAATATGTGATTTTCCCAACGCAGATGAGAGAAGTAGTTGTTGCACAACACAAGCATATTATGACCCAAAGTTATCTTAATAGTGCATCACGTTCCCCATTCAAGTAGCATAATGCAGATGTGGATCATGGCTGTTTGCGAATTGGGTTTAACTGCACAACCACTTGGACATTTAGTTTATTACAGCTTATTAGAGGGGTGGCTGTGTTATCTTCTGCAGCAAACACAACTCGAAGAAAAATGCATAATGGACCAACCTTGCTCAGCTTCCAAGAAACACAGTTGAATGTCAACAAAGAGTCTTGCGGCATCTAAAAAAAAGTAACAACTTTTTTAGCCAAATAATTTTTATTGGTTTTTCAGGTAAATACAAGAACAACATATAAATACAGAAAATTAACAAATTTATTATGGCAAAAGTTTGTGGACCACAATCAAATTTGTTATTTTGTGGCTATTGAACATAGGAAACTACTTTGTATTTATCAGCCTGTTGGTCAGTATAACTCAGTATACTCTACTTTCTACTCTTACAGGCTATAGGGTCTCAGGAATACATCTTTCTGGATGATGCTTCCAGAGAGTGGCTATTTGGAGGTAGCATTCAATTGAACACCATCAAGTTCGAATATCCCAGTTATAGATGATTGGGAGGTCTTGTGCAACAAACTCACTTCCGCAAAAGATCAGACATTTTGTTTTAAGGAAAGTAACAGAGAATGCACCAGAAACTGTAGGGCAACCCTTGCATTGATGTATCGTCTAATCTCTAGGCAAACAAATCAGGATGAATGCTCAATAAATAGGTTGCCTGAAAGTGTCCTCTCAGTCCTCCTATTGGACATGCTGTGGATTTAACCTAGGCCGTGTACACACTACACTAAAGCACATGACCACCCAAAGATTCCTGGGAGCTGTAGGTTGTTATGGGTGCTGAGAATGGCAGCTCTTTGATGGACAGACTGCATTTCCCAGGATTCTTTGGTGGGTGGCATATGCAGCCCTGGTACCTGAGCTACACCACTG